ATCATCTGACATAATTTCCAAATAAAAATTAGAACCATTCTTCAGTCAACATCTTACATCATTATCTTATAATTATTCCGTACTTATCATCTCACATCACTAAAGCAAATTTATTGATTTTTTTTCTACCAATCAGCCTATTAGCATTTTATTCTTTGTCAAAAAACCTGTTTTAAAATTTCATTTTATATATATATATATATATATATATATATATATATATATATATATATATATATATATATATATATATATATATATATATATATATACATATACATATATATATTTTATTTATATATATATATATATATATATATATATATATATATATATATATATATATATATATATACATATACATATATATATTTTATATATATATATATATATATATATATATATATATATATATATATATATATATATATATATATATACATATATATATTTATATATATATATATATATATATATATATATATATATATATATATATATATATATATATATATATATATATATATATATATATATATATATATACATATATACATATATACATATATATATACATATATATATATATATATATATATGTAAATATATATGTATATATGTATATATGTATATATGTATATATATATATACATATATACATATATACATATACATATACATATATATATACATATATATATATATATATATATATATATATATATATATATATATATATATATATATATATATAATATATTATATATATATAATGAAATATATATATATATATATATTTCATTGTATATATATATATATATATATATATATATACATATATATATATATATATATTTTTTTTTTCTTTCTTTATTAATCATGTAGCCTGGTGTCATCCTGAAATGATGCATTTGGGTTATTTTTTACTATAATTTTATATTCTCATATATATGTTTTTTTAGCCATTATGATTTATTTAATAAATAATGTAGATATAACCAATAACAAAAAATAAACCTTTGCTGTGGAAATAAATCAGAAAAATTAAAACTGTCAACATCTGATGAAGCCATAGATTCTAAACCACGAAAAACTTCTGGAAACTTTTTCATGTATTCATTCAGAAGATTAACTGCAGATGCTGAATAAAACCAACCAAAGGCAGAGCGTCTTGCATAACCTAGCATCTGAAAACAAAAACATATATAATTTAAAAATTCTCACTGAAATATTAGGTTTTCTGTGCAATCAAAAAAAAAAAAAAAAAAAACTTTAAATTTGTCAGGCTAAAAACTTTGCTATGATTTTAAATTGTTATTTAATAACCTCAATAACAGCTTGAAATTTAATAACAGCTTGAAAGGCGTACCTCTAAGTTTTTTTTTGTGTATTTTATTTTTAAACCAAGGTTATAAGACATAATACCAGTTTGGTTACTACCCTTTGTTACAAATACATCACCAGTGATTCTTGAAAGTACGTCGATAGGAATTTGCATTTGTTTTGCAATCGAGTGAGAAGAGACATATTCTGTTGAAAGAGATTCAAACATTGTTTCTGAAAAATTCGGTTCTTTCAGAATGTTAATTAGGACATTTATGTGATCATTCTTTTCGTTATATTGAAGAACCTTAGACAAAAAAAAATCTTTCTTAACAATATGAGATCTTTATGCTTATTATAATAAAGAAACCTTTTAAAGCAAACATGAAAACAAATTTAAAAAACAATAGTATTTACTTATAAAAAGATAAAACAAAACAAAAACATAACTAACCAATTTGTAATAAAAAAAAGATGAAACAACAAAATTCTATAACTACAGACATGCTAGTTTTACACAAATGAAAATAGATTGACGTACTTTTCCTGTGAACCCATAATGTGGTTGCGACAAGATAACACACGGAGAATGAACAGGAAACAAGTCTGATGTAGATTTAATAACATTCTTTTCTCTTTTGCAAACAGAAACATCCTTTAAAAAATTTTTTATCTGATTATTTTTATTTATGATTGAATTAAGTTATTTATACATTAATTATTTATACTTGAATTAGTTATTTATAAGTTATTTATACATTAAGATCATTTATCTTTTTATTTTAAATAATAATAAAAAAAAAATACCTGTACTATAGTCTGCAATGGATAAAAAGTAGGAGTCTGGGACCATTCTTTTACTAAACTAGCTTTACCTCCATCAAATTTATACTTTTCACCCAAAAGCAATTTAGCTGCCACAATCGTGGTCACATCTCCTAGATTTATTCCTCGCTCAAATAGATGATATGAAGAAATGACTAAATAAATAAAAAATACTAATAATAAAAAACAAACAAATAAAGCGCAAAATATAAATTTTAAATTTATATCTAATCAATAGATAGCCAATTATTTAACAATAACTTAATAAATATTTATATAAATATATCAACTATTTAATCTCCAATAACTTAATAAATATCAAATATCAACTATTTAATATCCAATACATGATAAATATCAAGCATTAACTTAAAAACATAATTTTTTCAGCATCAGTAATAAGAAGAAATTATTCATCAACCTTGTTTCATAAGTGATAAATATTTTTTGTTTTTGGTTTTTAAATTGAGCTGATCAATTGTTATTGGGTTAAAATTTTTACACTGTATTTTTACTGCTATTTAGTTTTGTTTTTTTAATTTTAATAAATTAGCTCATTTTAAGACAATTGTTACTTAAGATTGAATGATTGATAAAATTTTTGAGCAAAGGTGATAATGATAATTTTCTTTATTGAAAAGTTTTGAGATGTTTTACTCATTCTCAGTGCTTAAAAAAATTATTCAAAGTTCGCTAATCAAAACTCAGAAACCTAAATTAAATGAAACAGCATGTTTATTTTTACATTCACTAGTGTAAAAAGTTTAACTTTTGTATCTGAGACTTTACAAAGAAAGTCTGTGTGTATTTCTCATTATTTGAAATGTGTTAGCTCATCTTTTTATTTGGAAATAACAATTATCCGCCAATCAAAAACATTTCGTTTTTTTAAATTAATATAATTTTGCGCTAATGTCGAAATTATAAATGTTTATATTCATTACAAAAAGATCGGGTAGTAGATCAACTTTAATTTTCAAAACTACAAGGGTGTGATGGTCAAACTCGAAGGGGTGTCAGCTAAACTCAAAGAAGATTGTAATATTAAGAAAATAATATTAATTAAAAAAATAATAGGTAGCCTCCTTGACTGTAGTAAGGCCCTTAGGGTGGAAGTGAACAAAAAAGATTGAATTGATAACAGATTGATAATCCATATAGGATATAGAAATCCAATTACATCACCTTAAGCTTAAGCATATAAGGTTACTAATACATCAAAAAAATTACAAGTAAATATCTTATTTAAATCAATCAGTTTTTTATTCATCTTGGAATAACACTTTGTTATCATAGGAAAAAATGATAATATACAATAGTCTAGAAAAAAAAACTATAATATAACATTTATTTGTCTTTTACATTACATTACATTTTACATTATGTTTACTTTTACATTGTTCTTTTGATTTTTTTATATTATTCCTTTGATTAAAATTGTTTAACATTAACCACATTTTTACGTATTACATTTAACACATTTACTAAATGCGGTAGTGGTGTAGTGGTAGAGCGCTCGCCTCATACACAAGATGTTCTGAATTTGATTCTTACCACATTGCTGGTAGTATCCTGCTTAACCTGTTTCTCTGCACAGCAGCCTAGTTCATCAAGGTTCGTGTTTTGGAGTTATAGAGTTGAGAGAGGGATGTAACTACAGCTAAAGTAACCTCCTCAACTGTAGTGGCCTTCTCATCATGGGAGGGAAATTAACATTAAAAAAAAAATTGATTTTGAATAAAAAAAAAAAATACCAGCTATTTCCTTTTTAAAATTAGAATAATCTTCTCCATCAACCATCTTCATAGCAAGCTCATTTTCATTAGTTAGATAGTAGCAAAGATCTTCGTTCATCACTGAGGTTACCATGGCTTCAACCATATATGGCCATTCAACAAAAACTGACTTTCCAATCATCAAATTAGCTGTTTCTTCAATATCCTTCATTAAAAATTATAACTATATCCTTTTTTTTTTACTTTTTTACACTTTATTTTATACAAGTATAATTACTTTTTTTTAACTGTTACATAATTTACACTCTTGCAACAAAAAATTATTGCACAAAGTACTTACCATACTTTTTTGTTCTGTTATTTTAATAATTGCATTCTCAATTTTACTTTTGTGTTTAAATACTTTGATACCAGCCTGTGTAAAGAAGCATTTATGTTTTAGGTGTTTTAATGTTGGAAATCCTGGTGAATATATGTCAAGCTGTGCACCTTTAGACAGACCTTTCTTTATATCATTGATCTTTAATCTGTAAAGGTCCTGAGAAATTTCAACCTGTTTAACTTTACATGGAGTAATATCATTTAAACCAGGATGAGATGAAGGATAAGTTAAGTTGAGATTTTCATCATACATGAACTCATAAGCATTTCCAAAGGTGTTGCGAGATTTCTCTTCCTCTGTCAGTTGATCATAGTTTTGTGCCATGGCATCAAGTAAACGCTTCTAAAATAGAGTAAATTAAATAATGGACTTCTAATTTCTAAAATGACTCAAAACACACTGTTGATAACAGGAAAGTGGAGCAAAAATGAGAGAGAATGGTGGTTTGTTTTGGTTTGTTTTGTTTGTTTTAGCAAATACACTCTAACAATAACAAAAGAAGAAAATGATATTTAAAAAAATATTTTATTTATTTACATGCATACATATGTCACCTTTTTTTTAATGTATGAATCATCCTGACACCTTTTTTTAAAATCTCCTAATTTAACATTGATTAGGTGGGATGGTATTTTTAATTCACTGAAAACCATCTCAATAGCTTTTTTTCTCCACTTCAAATGCTGCATATATATATATTTTATATATATACAATTTATATATATGGGTATTATATATTATTATATATAATATATATTTATATATGGGTATTATATATTATTATATATAATATATATATTTATATATGGGTATTATATATTATTATAGATAATATAGAGTTTCCCATAAACTGTAGTTTTAAAGAGCGCGTTAATAAACCAGACCAGAAAAAGCTTAAAAACTTAAATTTTTTTTTTTTTTTTTTAAATGATAGACTGCCTGCCCAAACCAAACCCTTAGTCGATGTAGCAGCAGTCTCTTGCGAGTCAGGCTATTTGTCAGTCGTTGTAGCAGCACTCTCTTGCGAGTCAGGCTATTTGTCAGTCGATGTAGCAGCACTCCCTTGCGAGTCAGGCTATTTGTCAGTCGATGTAGCAGCACTCCCTTGCGAGTCAGGCTATTTGTCAGTCGATGTAGCAGCACTCCCTTGCGAGTCAGGCTATTTGTCAGTCGATGTAGCAGCACTCCCTTGCGAGTCAGGCTATAAGATAGTCGATGTAGCAACATTTACGCATGTTTTAAAAATGTTTTTTAATAAAACAAAAACAAAAACACTACTAATTAAAAAAAACTTTCTAGTTGTTATTATTGCGGTTTTTTAAAAAATTTTTAAAAAACAATAAAATTTAATGTACTTCTGCATTAATTTAATTGCTTTGACATTTCAACGACAATCAAATACAGCTTAAGAGACGAGGCAATTAAAATTGTAGTCGAAAGAGACTTTTTTTTACATTAAAACGCTCTTTCGACTTCACTATAAGGATATATATATATATACATATACATATATATATATATATATAATATATATAATATATATAATATATATAATATATCTAATATATACAATATATATAATATATATAATATATATAACATATATATAATATGTATATATATTTATATATATATATATATATATATATATTTATATATATACATATTAGTGATGTACCAATTAATCAGCATCAGCATTGGCTTAATCGATCACTTTTTGCACCATTGGAATCGGTATCGATTTTATTTTCCGATTTTCCAACCGATGGCATTTTAATATTTTCATCCTGCATTATAATAATTAAATAATAAATAAACTAAATTTTATGCATTACTTAGAATTTTTTTGATAAATTTTTATTTTGACTTTGTTTACAGGCAATATTGTTTATTCTTAAGATGATGTTTATAAGTTTAATTTAACAGCTGAATGTATTTATATTTTTACTACCATTGTGTTGTTTTTAGAATAATTTTATTTGTGTTGTTCTATTGTTATACTTAAAAGTAACCTATTTAAGCATTGTTATCTATATGTGTTCAAGTATAGCCTACTATATTTCTACATTTTTGTTAATTTTGTTTTATTACAATTCACCTCTCCAAGGCCACTGCAATTAAGAAGGCTACTTTAGATATGGTTAAAACCCTCTCTCACCTTTATAACTCCGAAACACAAACCTTGACGAACAATGCCGCTGCACCGAGAAACAAGTTGAGTGCGGTATTACCAGGGACATGGTGGGGATAGAACTTCACAAAATAAAATAACTATAAAAACAACTTAACTATCTAAAAATAGTTTAGATATCTAAACAACATGATTGTTGTTTAGATATCTAAATTACTATTAAATTAATAAAAAATTCTAAGTAAACTGCTCATGATAGTACCATTTTCTTTTTAAAATAGAAATAAAAAGCGTTCCTCAAAAATTTGTATTTATTTTTTGAAAGTTTTCTTTTCATAGTAAAAAAACTAAAAAAATGTATATTTTTTTAACTGAGTTTTTCTAATATCTTTTAAAATAATGGTTTGGCTCTGATTTGAGTCCATGTATTTGTTTACCAGTACTGATTCCATGAAAAAGATATAAAGATATATATATATATATATATATATATATATATATATATATATATATATATATATATATATATATATATATATATATATATACACACACTCACACACACATTTATTTACATTCTTTTGGCTAGGGCTGCAATCTTTTTTTTCAGTATTCTTAGTTTACTTGTAAAGTTAACTAAGAATAAGGTAACCAAAATAGGTTGACAAATGTATTGTAAATGTATGCACTATATTATATAGCATATATAGATATATATTTATTCACCATTTTTATGTAGTAAAATTTTTTTTATTAAAATAAACAAACAATATACAAAATGCAAACCTCGTCTATAAATGGTATAAGAACAACAGCTTCATACTGCTGCTTTTTCCCATTTAAATCTGTTTGAAAGTCTGAGGGGTAATAATCAATTATTGTTGATGTCTCTTCGACCATTAAGTTCTAAAAAAAGAAAATTAAAAGCATTTATGCAAGCTGTCAAATAAAACAAAAAAATTACATTTTATTTTCTCCAATGGAACCCATCTATATAAACTACCTTACACCCATCTATATAAACTATCCTACAACCTAGTCGACTACCCTATTTTTGATACCAATTGTTCTGGCATATCATTGGATATAAAAAAATTGATTCCAAAAAATTATTAAAGCAACATTTTCAAACCTAATAACACTAATCAACTACAACAAAAAACATTTAGCATAAGGAGAAAGCTAGAGTTGATAGGTTTAAACCAATCGTTTAAAGCATTTGAAAAATATCAGTTTAAACCAAAATAATATATTAGGAGTAGGTTTACAAATAAAACTATATCTTATCTAAATACTTGATATGAATGCACCAATTTAAAAGCATAAAAATGCTTCTGAAAATAAATTTCTAATGTATATAAGTTTACAGTATATTATTTATTTGACATGTAAAGCCGATTTGTTTCTTAATAACACAAAAGTTATACACACACACACACACACATATATATATATCACATTAACCTGTTGTCAGGTTAATGTAATATTATATATATATATATTATATATATATATATATATATATATATATATATATATATATATCTGTATGTGTGTGTGTATGTGTGTGTGTATATATTTATATATATATATATATATATATATATATATATATATATATATATATATATATATATATATATATATATATATAACTTTTGTGTGAACTATTTCTTATAAATATAAAACAACAATTATTACCAACTGATTTAGAATGTTCATATCATTATAACATAATTTGATATTATTTTAAACATTTGTATTAAATTTATTTTGGCTTATTGTGTAGATATATTGTGTTCTGGCTTTTGTTAGAGTGTAGATAAATTGTGTTCTGGCATTTGTTAGAGCATAGATATAATAAAAGACGCATATAAGCATAGATATATTGAAAGTTATAATCCGTATAATAATTTATGTAAGCTATATATAAGAATTTATTTTAACTTTTTTTAAAATTAAATAAAATAAAATAAATTGAACTACTTTTACTTTTATTTTAATATGGACTTAATATATGGTTTCCAAGAAAGATTGGAAGTAAGAGTTATGCCTAAAAGACAAAAGGCAGATGACTCAATGAGTATATTACACTTGATAAATATAGAAAAATTTAGATAGCTGCGATTACAATTAGCCGAAAAAATTTGAGTTTTATTTTAGTTATTTATTTAATGTAAAAGAAAAGAGTTTACCTTACCTGAAACGCCTTAGGTAGAAGTTTGCCACTAGCAGCAGGTAAAACTGCTAAAAGCTGTTCAAATGGTCGAAATGGTGTCCCAAGATCCATACTTATTTTCTCTAATTCAAAACTGGCAAGGTCAGACATATATGGGGAATAGTGATAAGGATAATACCTAAAGTAAAAGAATTCATTATCATAAATTTTAATAATTTTTATTAAATTAATCAGCACAATTAATTAAAATTGTCACAAAATAAACATTTTGTGAAATTAAATGAACAAATGAAACATATAAAAAATACAAGTCTAGAGAGGAATGGCAAACTATAACTCTCGCTTACGATTCCTGATTTAGTTTCCTGTGTAAATCATTTGCAGGAGTAAAAAGATTTAATGTTATGTAAAAAAATAAGGTTATTAAAAATTAATAAGGTTATTAAAAAAATAAGGTTAACAACTATATAAAGAATAATATACAACTAAAAACAATATACAAATATTAAAAAGGTTATACAACTTTCTTTTAAGATTTTTTATGGAAAAAAAGTAACTAAAACAATCTTGGATTTGTAAGAACCATGGTATTATATTAGTTATATCATTTTTTCCTTATTTGTCAACTGAGTTACTCAATATTATTTGTATTTACATTTTTTACAAGTTTTTTTACAGACACTTAAATTGAAATCTTGCTTTCCTTTATTCAACATGTAGAATAATAGGAAGTAACTATTTGTATGCTCGGTTTTTGTTGCATCAATAAAATTTTTTGTAATTAAATGATTTTATCTAGATTAAAAATTACAGCGAAAAATATTTTCCTGTAAAATAAAAATCTTACTTAAAATTTTACATTTAACATAAAAAAATCATCAAAATCCTGTAAAAATAATCAAAATCCTGTAAAATATACACTAAGCTTACTTAAAATCACTTTTTCTGGATTTGTTTAACCATTTGATACATAACTACAATTAAGTAATGTTAAGAGAATTGTAATAGAATTTCAATAAATTCGAATCACAATTTAAATTTATTGAATTAAATCAGTTAACTTAATTTGATTTAAATCTTACAAACAAAAATAATTTAAATTGTTTTTTTTTTATTTTAATTGTTTTTAATGATAATTCACTGAACTTTTTACCATGATTCAAATGCACTAAAAACAACTCCTGTTTAATAATAGTTTAATTATTAGCATATAGTTATATTATAGTTGTTTTGTATATATATATATATATATATATATATATATATATATATATATATATATATATATATATATATATATATATATAATATATATATACATAGGGTTTGGCAAGGAAGGCATGCGATTTCAAATCTTTATATGACCACGCAAATAATCTTTTGTTTTGAGAATTTAACTACGGTTTTTAAGAAATGTACTGAAAAAAATTGGTTTTTTATTACGTTGAAAATAAATAACTTTTACACAATTTGATATTAGTAAAACGCTTTTAAATAAAGTAGTTAATGATTTTATTCAAAGTATCATTAGAAGTTTTATAAATTTTTATTTATATAATTTAATTATATAAGATTTTTTTATAAGTAAAATAAAAAAAGTAAAAATTAAAAAATCTTTTAACTCTATAAGTGATAACTTTAAACAGCGCTGGTCTCTTTAATAAACTTTATATAAAAATCATTAAAGTTAATTCACTCAAAAAAAAATTGATTTTGTTTAGAAAAAAAAAAAAAACTTTGTTGAAAGCCGTTTGAATTAAATAATTTTAATCTTTGTTTCTTATGTTTTTATATCATTAAAACGCATTTAAATGAAGTAACAAATCTTTTTATAAAAATATTCATGAATAATATATACATTTTTTAATATATTTAAGTGTATTTTTTATAATAAATGTATTTTTATAATAAATGTCCTTGAATAAAAAAAAAATCAACTTCTTAAATAAACGATTTAATTTTGTTTTGTTTTGTTTATGTTACTGTGAAGAATTGTTAAGAATCTTTATTTTTAACTTTTAAAAGTATTTATTAAACAAGCGTAAGATGTAAGTTGCTACGTTATTAAAAGAGTTTCACAGTAACATAAACAAAACAAAAAAAAATTAAATCGTTTATTTAAGAAATTGATTTTTTTTTTATTCAAGGACATTTATTATAAAAATACATTTATTATAAAAAATACACTTAAATATATTAAAAAATGTATATATTATTCATGAATATTTTTATAAAAAGATTTGTTACTTCATTTAAATGCGTTTTAATGATATAAAAACATAAGAAACAAAGATTAAAATTATTTAATTCAAACGGCTTTCAACAAAGTTTTTTTTTTTTTTTTTATAATATTATATTATAAAAACATTAGTAAAACATAATATTATATTATAAAAACATTAGTAAAAATAAACGATTTAAAGTTATTTATTTTAAACGTAATTTAGATAATCTTATTGTTATTATTTATTTATTATTTATTGATTTATAATCATTTATTATTTATTTTAGTTAAATTTTAGTTTTTTTATTTTAGTTTTAGTTAAGTTATTTTTATTTTATTTTTTGTTATTTTTTTTACAAAGATTTATTTGCTTCTTTTGAGATAAGTTTTTTTTTAATTTCTCGTTAATTTTAATTTCTAGTTAAATTTAGATGATTTTTTCAGCGTATTTTTAAAATGTATACAAATTTTCAAAACATATTAACAACCATGGTCAAGTTTTCAAAATCAAATAGTATTTGCATGGTCATATTATGACAAGAAATTACACACCTTCCCGGCCAAGCCTGATATATATATATATATATATATATATATATATATATATATATATATATATATATATATATATATATATATATATATATATATATATATATATATATATACATGATATATTTTGAACTTTTTTCAAAAATTAACTCTCTGTAGCAAGACGGTCGTAAAGCTTACTTTTTAACACTTCTGAACAAAACTTTGTCAGACTTAATTCAGCGAACAGCATGGTAAAAAAAAAAAAAATCATTTGGTGTGTGTATTTAGCACATATTGATGTTAGTATACGCTGAGTTTTATAGTTTTTACTTAAAGTTTTACAAGCATTTTTATGTTTTTTCTGTTGTGACAGTCATAACCTTGACAGTCATATGAAAAAATCCAATGCTTAAAAACAACAAATAAAATGACGCAATCAATGATGTAAGAAAAAAAGTATAAATGATTATTAACAAATATTTATATTATATTAAAAAAATGCACTATAACATTATCAAAGTTTTCAATTATGAATATATGATACGATATTTAAAGCTACACAACAGGACTGTAAATAAGCGTCAAAATATGTTATTACAACCCAACATTAAAACCATGTTATGGCATAATAAAATGACCTTTTTTAATAAATTTTGCTTAAAAGCATTTTTAAATAGTTCAATAGTTTTAATATATATTTATTTTTATGTGTGTGTATATATATATATATATATATATATATATATATATATATATATATATATATATATATATATATATATATATATATATATATATATATATATATATATATATATATGTATATATATATATATATATATATATATATATATATATATATATATATATATATATATATATATATGGAAAAAATGGTAACAAAGCCTAATGCAAAAAGTGTTTTGTGGAAATTTAAGGTTCAGTAGCTCAAATGAAAAACCATAAATGTTTTGGTAAATATAATACTTTGAAAGATATTCAAAACGATTAATCAAGACACTGTAGAAAATATTAACCAGACAACTAGGAAAACACAAAATAGTCAATCTTCTGTTGAAAAAACTGAATCTAGTCAATCTACTGTAGAGACTGCTTTCTTTTTATTCTGTAGAGAATGTTTTCTTAGGTCGATATAAAAAGGCAGTGGCAAGATAATGTCAACTAAATGGATTTATACCTTAATAAAACAACAAAATCTGAAAAAGAAGTAATTGATGCAAGGGGCAAATTAACTGATCACAAATTATGATATCTGGGAATGCTTTCGGTCTATAAATTTTTAGTTTTTTTAAATACCATAAATTGTTTTTATCAAAAACTCAATAGTTGTTATTAAAAAAAAAAATATTTGGGCATTAATCTAGATATTATGGTAAATAATCTCCTTATAAAACCATATTATTATTGTTGTTATTGTTATTAATAATAATTATGATTTAAACTTCAATATTTTGATTCACAAATCATCAGATAAAACTAGAAAAACAAAGCATACAGTACAATGTAATATTAAAAATGAAACAACTGCAAAACACAACAGTCTAATTGAATTTAGGGGCGATCAAATGTAAAAAAAATAAAAAAATGTAAACTACTTTTTTAAATATTATTTAATATTTTTTTAATGTTTAAATCATATTTATTATCTTATAAATATAAATGTCAACTAAATGCTTGCAAACCTCTAGCGCAGATATTTAAATAAAATTAAAGACAGAGGTGTTTAAAATCATAAGAAAACTAATTTAAACAACTAATAGTTGTTTTAAAATATAACTAAAAAACTTTAATAACTAGGGATGTACCGAAGCTGCAATTTTGCCGAAGCCGAAGCTTCGACCGAAGCCACTTTACTGAAGCCGAAGCTTCGGCTTAAGCTATATGTAATTTAAAGCTCAATTTACTTCACCACAGTGGTTTGAATAATCAAGTTGCTTTCAAAATTATATATCAATGTTTTAGGTTTCAATGTTTTGGCCTACATGCCCATTTTAGGAAAATTATAAAACAAAACCAATATTATAAAAAATTTAAACAAATTTTGTATAAAAATTTAGAGTCTTAACTCTATATATCTAGCAGGTATAGGAAAGATTACATCACTAAATCTTAGACATTTACTGATACTTAAGGTAAATTATGGTCTATTCTTTGAAAGAATTTATAAAAATGTAAACACGTAAAATGTAAAAATATAAAAGTAGTCATTATTTTAATTTGAACACAAAATTTGGTATTTGTTTTAAATTTTGTTAAAAAGTTGAATCAGTTGAACTATGAAGCTACAGTCTATTATTTAGTTAATAAAAATTTATTCAATGAAAGCAGGCATATTACAATTTAAAAATGCAATCTGTTCTCCATGTTCGGGTAATAGTCTGTTTCTTTTTGCTTCAAATATGTTTCCAGATGTGCTAAATAAGCGTTCGCTTTTTACAGATGAAGGAGGGGCGCACAAAACTTTCTTTGAAAACTTTGACAAATTCAACTTGTAAGTATCTTTATCAGAGGAAGTGTAACGATATGCACTCCACCACTTATAAGGGCATTCATTCTTTGGCAGTATTGGAAGGCTCAAGTGGAAGTTGACTTCATCGGTGCTGATACATAAAATATAGGTGATAATTTTAGGTTTAAATTTTTAAAATATTACAATTTAATCAACTAAACAAAATAAAAGAATGCTGTTATCCGTCTTTTGAAATAAAAAAAATGGAGAATGAGAATAGAGATAAAAAAAATATTTAATATTTAATGTATAAACAATATAAAAATCATAAATAAATTCTGTTTTCTTACCATTTTTCTTTGACAGTTAGAGTTTTTCCCATTGAACTAGTGTTTTTTTTTTTTTTTATCCGTCCGTCAAAATTTTCTGAATTTTGTAGAGCATTCTAGAGCATTGTAGAGCACTCATTTGCACCGATTTGGTGGAACAAGCTATATATGCCCATGCTCATTAGTTTTTTTTTTTTAATGGAGAGCCATGGCCATCAAAATCTGAGTCGGACTCATGAATTTTAGATTCTGAAAATGAACTTAATGATTCTTCTGAGTCTGATCCACTACCTCTTGCTACACCAAATTCAATTTCTTTTACTTGTTCTAAATGAGATTTGGAACAAAAACAGTAGAACTCTAAATGGAGTATTTCTTTAAACATATTATGATTCTTGTCTTCAACAAACTTTAACTTGAAACGAGGATCAAGCATCATCGCGATTTTTAAATCAACATTATCCTTGTATTTTTGAAAACGACAGTTAAAATCTTTCTTAAGTTCATCAACAACAGTTTTTATTTCAGTTGCGGTGTCACAAGCGTAGTCTAGAAACTTTTCCATTGCATAGATAAATGGTATAATCTCTGATATACATGCCGTTTCTTTACTCATGTCTTTTGTAGTACTTTCGAAGTTTTCAGCAAGTTGCCATTGATTTTCCGTAGGATTTTTTGCATTTGTTTGATCTAAGTGGCGGATAGAGGTATGTATCTTTCCCCCCTCACCAGTACATTTATTATAATATTATAAGCTTAGATAAGTTAAGTTAACATTTTTCTATACAAAAGATAATTTTTCGACAAGACATGCCCCCATTTAGTCACAAAATCATGAATACTGAATAGTAAATGAATTCAGCTACAGTTAGCTGAGTTACCTGTGTCGATGCTTTTTGAAAAAAGGCAATTGTGTTATTAGACACACGCGAGCTTCCCTGCGTTTCATCTGTGGCAGTGCTGGTAATGATTTGCACTGATTCAGCAGAGCTTGTTCTATCTGAGCATATTGTTCGAGTAGTGCAAAATTGTTTTATAGACTTTTCATTTGGATTTGGTAAAGATTCGTGGTTAATAATTTTCTTCTGAGAAAGAATCATGCTATGTATATTGTAATGTACTTTTTTCAGATGGTTTTGTAAATTTGTTGTTGACATGTTGTGTGCGTCTTTACTTCCTCTAGACAAAATCTTCTTGCAAAGTATGCAGATGGCTTTGCCAACATCTTCATCACTCACTTTAAAATAATTCCATAAGGGATTTTTACTTCGCGATGAGGTAGCCATAATGCGCTAATGGATAACTTAAAGTTATAATAACAATTCTGAAAATTGAAATAGAAAGTTTTATTATTTTCTTACCTTTAATAATATTTATTGAAATAAACAATATTCGTTCAATTTTTTGATTCAAATATTATTTGAATTAAAAAAAATCGAAGTCGTAAATAACCAATTAACCTATATTTGTAGAGCAGGTATATTTACTTTTACTAATGATCCAGCGTACAAAATCAAAAACAAACGCAATTGACTTACATTTCAATTGTGCTTTTCTGTGTAGTGTCTTTCTGTGTAGTGTCTTTCTGTGTTCTGTCTGTGACTTAGTAAAACAAACTTTCTGAATAAAAATTGTTTCGTGCGTTAAAATTAACTTATTGTACAGATTTTTAAAAATTTCGAGAATAGTTAACTCTCTTAACTCTCGTGCGCTATGTTTTAGTTACATCTAAGTAATTTTAAATAAAGATTTATTTCCAGGTTTAATTTTTAATTTTAATTTAATATTAAAAATTATTTAATTTAATATTAAAAAATAAAAACTAATAACTAAATGCTAAAAAAATTAAATTTTAACAATTTTTCATTATTTTACTACCAACTAATGCATAAATAAATTTTATTGCTAAGCTCGAGTGATCATAACTAAATATTAGGGTTATGGTATTTAATTATATAAAGTTTACTATAATGTTACAGTTTAAATCAGCTTATATTGAGTGATTATAAAAAAATCAATGTGTTTCATTAAGTAACTTTACTTTCTATCCGCTATCGTGCCGTTTTTGGCCGCCCTACACGCGGCCTTGCCACCTCCAAAAGCCATTGCTGGATTCATTTAATCTTCGCAACTGTATAAATCAGAGGCTTATTTAAATTTCTCAGAAGAAGAAAAGAAAAAGAAGAATTTTGAACGTTCAACTACGTTTTATTCGGAAAACAGACGTGTGAACGTTTAAAAAATGTCTTCCTCAGTCGAATGCCAGCTTAGTATTGTCCATTTTTTTGCCGAAGCCAATAATTCGGCAAAAAACGCCCATGGCTTCGGCCGAACCGAAGCTTCGGCAAAATTGCCAAAGCTTCGGCAAACCGAAGCCGAAGCTTCGGTACATCCCTATTAATAACATATTTATCATATATTTATTTATCATTATATTTATTATCAATTTATGTAATTTTTAAATAAATAAATCTACAAATTTTCCCTTTAACTAAAATCTGGTTTTAATGTTTTATACTTTTAGTATATATTTAACTTGGCTGATTTTAAGATGAATGTGCATATTTTTCGAACCTTTAGTAAATATTACTTTTACTTGGTTTTTTATTCATAAAATTTGAATTAGCTGGTGTTTAAACAAACAATAAATTATTTTCTTTTCTGTTGTTGTTCACATAAGTTATAAACTACAATACAAATTAGAAACTTTTTTCAATTTTAGTAAATTTAAAAAGTTTAGAATTCATTAAAACTATGTTGGTCCAATTACAAAGTATATCGGATTTCATAAAATCTTTTGAAGCAAAAGACCGTACAATAGCAAAAGATAAGCAGTTGGTTTGCAGTTTTTATGTGCTAAAAAATGAGACAACAAAATGAACCATAATCATGAAATATGGTCACAGACAAAACATAACAACTTGAAAAAAGCAGAGACTGAAGACCAACAATATAGTCTTACTCTCAATAAATGAATTCAGATAAAATTAATACTATTTTATGTTTACCATTTAAGATCCATACCATTCTCAGTCAAACTAAACTTACACAAACATATTGAGTGTATCTTACAAAGTATCCAACAGAACTCATTTTTGTTTAGGCAATTCCGCAACTGCTACCTATTACTATTAAAATTTTAGATTTTTTTGGTTCATTAAGAACATAAAAAACTGTATACTGTATGAATTAAAAATAGAAAAAATTGTTTTTTTTCATAGTGTTGAACTCTTTTATATTCACTACATTGCTTATAAAGTGCTATCACTTTATAAGCAATGTAGTAAATATAAATTGAATTAAAAATTGAGTAAGATTTTGTATTCAAAGCAATATCAAAAAAATGCTTACCAACTCCACGATTGCAAACCATTGAAGTAATAGTGCGATATCCATTGTAATGCTGTAACATAATTTGAACATATTGTCTGCATCTCAATGCTTAAAAAAAAAAAAGAGAATCTTTTTAGTCAATTATTTATTATTTACTTGTTAAAAATATTAAATTTTAGGAACAATCGAAAAACAATTTTATAACTTAACCTTTAAAACTACTAATAAAAAAATCCACCACTTTCATACTTAACAACATATCTACCAATAAAAACTCAACTTCATCCACCACTACTATAGTAATTAACCATCATACATCCACTATTATAGTAGTCAACCACCATACACCCACTATTATAGTAGTTCACCTAGAGTTTTAACTAATGTAATTGTAATGAAAACAATATCATAAACAATAACTATTGATATTGTATTAATTTTTTTACAAAAAATAACAATATCTAAGATTTACAAATATTGTAATTAGGGTTTGCAATCCCTGAACCCGCGATCCCGCCTAATTTTTTAACCCCGAATTCCCGGGATTATTTTTAAAATATTCTGGGATTAAGAATTTATAAAACGACAATTAATACCTGCGTTTAAATTGTGTCACATAAAACATAAAGCAACAACAAAGCAATAAAATTTAGTACCAATGCAATTCAACATTTTCATTATTGATTTATAAGTTTAAATTAAGTTTAATCAATCTTATATATTGTGACAATTACTGAAGCGTTTATTAGGAAATAGTAAGAAACTAATTTTAATTATTAAAACTAAATTATAATAATAATATAAATAATAAAAATAATAATAACAATAATGAGAAAAAAATTAAAAATTTGTTTGTACTGATTTATATTGTGTTTTTGTAATAATAGAGTGTATTTATTTAAATTTATTGAACTTTAAAAATTCTCTTTAATAAGAAAGTAAATAAATTCTTATATTTTCTTTGATTAGTCAAATTAGGATACTATGTCAAATTTCATACCGTTCAACAGCAAAACCCTTATATAGAAACATTTTCTGCGCATCAAAGAAAGTGAAACAGCTATGTGTAAACAAAGCTATTGCAAAAAAGTATTGAAAATTATGAGGGGGGGGGGGGGGGGAAATCAACAAAAGCTCTTCATTCTAATCTTCTTCAATTACATAAAATAAATTTAAAAGCAGAACTGGCAGCACGTTCTCTGACATCAGAAGAAAAACCACAGAGTAAAAAAAGTAAAATTATTTCTTATTTTTCATCAAATATGAATAAAGAAGACAGCTTGTCTGAGGTGCTTGCAAGATTAACAGCTAAAAATGGGATTTCTTTTAATGTAGTATGCACTTCTATTGATATACGCGCTGGACTGGCTATGAGGCGATTTGTCAACATACCTAAATCTCCTAACACTGATAAAACACTGATATTGTGTTAGAGTTTATGCTAAATTAAAAAAGCTGAAAACTACAACAAGTTGTTAACTTTTTAAAACATTAGCCTCCAGAATCAAAAAGCGAAGAACTTTTCTTCAGAAAGTTTATGACTTTTTAATGACAATTAAACCAACAAGCATAGAATTAGAAAAAGCATTTTCCTCCGCAGGACTATTTTGTAATAAAATAAGAAGACGCTTAAGTGATAATAATTTAGATAGTTTGAGCTTTCTGCAAGCATAATTTCTAAAAACAAAATAAATAACTTTATGTACAAGTTTTATTCATTTTACTGGAAAATACTTACTTAAATTATAGCTTTTCTTTTAGTTTTAAAGCATAACAGAATGCTAGTATTTCCTGGGAAATTTCGGGAATTAATTATACAACCCCGAATTCCGGGAATAGAAATTTTCCGGGTTTTTGCAAACCCTAATTGTAATACTATAATACAATTAAAATAAATATTGTATTGTAATTCGTCTTTATAATACAATAACAATATCTGAAAAAAATTGTTATGTTAAAAATAGGCTATGTTTTAATAGTCAAGTGGCCATGCTATGTAACCTTGGAATAGGGTACAACTAATATTTTATGACCGACTATAGTATTATTTGATATACTGAATCATAATATATAGGATGCCTGAGTGGTACCTTTAGACCTTTAAATATTATACCTTTAAATATTGAAAGTTACCAAGGTCAGAAAAACAGAAAGCACCTATTTTGTTGCTAATAAAATTAATTTAGCAAATCAAAATTAAATATTTGAACTTAATTAAACGTTTATGTGAATACTATGTAATATAACAGTATACTATACTTGATAATGATTCAACATAAAATATGTTATGAGACGGGTAAAAGAAATATTAAACTGAAATAGTTTTCTTTAACTTTAATTTAATTACACAACATTTTACAATAATCCAGACTAATTATACATAGATTATTACTTATTAGTTATTTTTAAGTTTTTTTGATCAGCTGGCTTCATATTCAAGAGTGGTAAGTAAGCTGTACAAGTTATTGAAGAGATATCAAGAATTTTGAGCATACTTTAAAATGAAGCATATTTTAGCGTGTTAAATATTTTGATATTAATTTAAAATATTTTAAATGGCTAGTGATTCTAGCAGTATTGAGTTTCACAACTGTTCCTGCCAAAACCAATAGTGGCTAAACAGAACTTATAACTGGATTTTCGGGTGTGGAAGTTGTATAGTAAAGATAATGACAGTAAAATCTGCACACTCATAGAAACACCCTCTTTAATAAAAATGCTTAGAACCCCTAATAAGCTTACCTTTCATACTTATCAGCTCTAAAAAACTTTCAATATAACTTTTAAAAATTGTAGCTCTTATGATAATAGCATTTTAAATTTTTTCCAGAAATTACGATTTCTAACTGTACAAGAACTTCAAAAGCCTTGAAGTTTCTTGTATTGTTCTGAAGCTGAATTTGCAAGATCAAATGCATTTGAGATTTTACTATAAAGTGTGTCAAACTCATATGTTTCATTTCAATTCTTGGTACTACCATCAATTTAAGAAACATTTCAAGCAATTTGTTCATAGGTATCGTAAAACACTATACCAATATTTATGCTAACAACGGCCTAGTAAAGTAAGCGTCAAATACCAGGTGTAATTGTAAGGTGTAAATGTAAGGTATAATTGTAAGGTGTGGCTATAAGGGTTTGGATGATTTTATTTAGATTCACTAGATCAGAATCCAGAATTAATTAAACTGTTTAAATTTGTTTTTAGTACAAAACTCACTCTGCTAGGACCTATTCTCAGAACAAACATCCCATCATGTATGAGGTTGTCAAAAAAGCTGTGAAAAACATCTTCTTTGATATTAAAGTAGTTACATTGTTTTCATTACTGATGAATGGTTCTCTCAGCATGTGAGAAGTTGTTTCTTACCTTGCTTCTCTGCCCAATGGCTTTTTTTGTCAATGAATGAATTTTGTAATTAAAGAGTTAAAAGAGGGTTGTATCCACAATAGAGTAGCCTCCTCAACATTAGTGGCCCTCTCAGCCTTGAGTAGGCGAATACTATTAAAAAAAGTCCAGTCCTTGGTTTGAAAAACAAAAGCATTTTTCTCTCTGCTTCCAAACTCACCTAAAATTGCACACCAAATAGAGATTACTGCACTGCACTTAAGACAAGAAGCTGCTTGAAAGACCAATCCATAAGATTCAAAGCTTTGCCAAAAAACACTGGAAAAATTTTTTTTTGTTTAAAGTCAACTTTATATGCAAAACCTATCCTTCTCTACATTCAAAGCAAAGAAATAAAAATGAATTTCCTGACAAACAGAATACCTGGTAGAAAAAAATTCAGATAAATCTGTTTTTGAAATCTGGGATAAGGTTTCGCCCTTGATGATAAAGCTCAAAGATTCAAGCAACACCTGCTGAAGATAAGCCATCAATTAAAAAGTCATTTCCAAAGTTTTCAACTTGCACAAAATTTTCTCTGACAAAAGAAAACTCAGAAGATGTGAAGAACTACTTTGCAGCTGTGTTGCTCAAACTTGAAGAAATGTTTAAGAATCATAGTTGTGATGAGAAAATGTTACCATGATGTGACTCTATGTCAACTCTCTGCAACAACATTCAAAAAACTAATTAATTAAACTGTTAACAAATATCTCATCTTATTTTGATAAAAACTATCATAAAGAAATAAAATGCTGAAATAACTTTTTTTAGGGCAACTGCAAAAGTCCTATCAGCATAAAAAAGAAGCCAGCTCTAAAGATTTAGATTCTTCCATGAACAGCTTCATGTCACTTATCTTTTCAAGAAAAACATTAACTCCAGTAAAGCACAAATGGGGTTTAATGCTGAATGTCAGCTTCATTAGAAACTGCTAAAAAAAAAACATTAAAACATTAACTTCTTCATATTTAAACCTATTTTCTTCAGCCATATTTGAACCATAATTTGAAGAAATTAATTCAGAAGATGATGAAAATCAACTAAATCAGATCTCAAGTGGCTCAAGCCAGAGTTTTCAAGATGATGATTAGATTCTCTGAATTCAAACAAAGGCAACTTTAAGGTCTAGGTGTTTATTCAGTGGACATATTTACATATATAATAGTGTTATCCTAATAACTAATGGGCCCTAGGCCCATAGTTATTAGGGACCCAAGCCAATTTTTTCAAAAATTTTTTTTAAAAAGTTGTTACTCTTAAAATTAATATGCATGTATATAAACATGGCAACATTAGCAATTTGTGCTATTATTATATAGCTAAGAATTACCAACACTTTTTTAGACAATAATAATAACCTATTGTATTAAAAAAATTTTTAAATTTTTTAAATAAAGATTTTTTAAATAAAGATTTTAAAAAAAAAGATTTTCAAGAGGGGTACGGAGGTGGCGATCTATAATAATGACCTATTTAACTTTAGTTCATTAAAAAAATTTTCAATCAAGTTTAGGTATCTAAAGGTTAACAATAAAAATATATCTTTCTGTGGTATATCAAGACCAAATAATGCTAGTTTAATAAAATATATAGCTGAAGCCTTAAAATTAGCCCAAAGATTAAATAGGAAGCCCTACGATGGCTGCTTCATTGTTAGTGATTTTAACTTCCCAAATACAATGATGGTATTAAATCTTTCAACACCAACAATTCTACTTAATTTAACCTCTAGAATATTTGCATCCTCAGAACGCAATATCCCATTTCCTACTTTAGACACGTTGTTTTTGCTCAAATCATGTTGGACTTGTTATTTACCTACAGTAGTAATTGTATTTTAAATTTATTTCTTAATGTAACTAAGTAACAACACTAAAAATTACTTAAGTATCACTTGAAGTTTCACAACCAAAAAGTGAATCTCAATTGTTTAGTTACAACAAAGGTGGTTACATTATCAAAAAACAATCAATTATTAAATTTAATGAAATCATTTTTATTATCAAAGTAGAATCCGTGGTAAATATTTTTCTTTTCATTTTATTATTAAAATACGTTATCATTAAGTGTTGTAACAAATACAACAAAAAATTTGGCACTATACATAAAACTACACCATATAAGGAACAATTTTTAACTATTACTAGTAAAAATGCGAAATAACTTTATTTTAGCTGTGGTGCAGTGGTTTGAGTTCTTTCTCAGAAACAAAGGTCTGAGGTTTGATTTTGGCTCTGACCAGATAAGCAACATTGGTAAGGAATGTGATTTAAACTTCCCAATTAAAATGTTATACCACAGTGCTTTGTGATAAGACCCTTAGTTCTTCTTGGAGCAACTTAACAACTATAAAAATGTCATCGTAGGTAATTGTTAATTGTTTTGAGGATGTTCCAAGTTAAGTAGAAACTTTAAATTATCAGCTTATTCTACTGTAGAAATAAGACAGCATTTTTTTATCAACAATTATGATTTTAAATAAAGTGGATCTTGGCTGCTATGATCAACTGTATTACTAAAATAAACATCTCATTCATCAATCACTTTTGACATTTAACAGATCTTTCTCTTTTTCAATGTATTTATTGACATCTGATTCACAAGTAAATGGGCTGCCTTGTAATTTTAAACAAGCCATAAAATATAATAGCTCTTGGACGCCTAATAAAAAGCTTTTAATTCATTTTTTTCTAACCCACTCTGTCTTTGTCTTGTTTCTGCCATTCGTTTCAACTATTTTATATTTTTAAATTTTTTAACAATGTGACATTTCCCGAAATATTTCTGAATTAAATGAATCTTGATCTCATAATGGTTTGGATATTCAAGTATATTACCTCAATGAATTTTTGTAAATGACGGTATATCTGAAGCCAATTGCAATGAGTGCCACACTGACACTTAAGTTCAACGTTATTTGTAATTAAGTAAATAGTAATACAATACACTACAATAGGTATTGCAATTGTTTTTCATCAAAACAATAAAAAAAGTTATTGTAATTTTATTTCATTAAAACAACACAACTGTTTTGGTATTTTATTGCATTGTTAGAAAAAAAACAATAGTAATAGTAATTGGTTTTTATCACAGCAACACCAAAAAAAAAGTTAATTTTTGTAAAAGTTATTTCTGTAATATTACAATACAATATAAATGTATTGCATTATTTTTTTAAATTTTTACAATTGCATTAGTCCTAACTCTAAGTTGTCCACCACATACCCACCACTTAACTCGTCAGCATTCACCTAATATAAAAACAATCAACATCCCCCCAATATTATAGAACCCCACACCAACACCCGCCACTATAGTAGACTACTGTCATTTTCTCACCATTAGAGTAGCCCATTAACATAATAATAAAAACTATATAAAATGATTTACTTGTTTTTGACATTCATACCAAATTTTTCTGCATAATAATTTTGTTTGTGTTCTGTAAATTCATCAACTATTGCTAGATCTTTATCTGAACCTTTAACTTTTATTAACTTCTTGCTCTTTTTCTGCAGGCTTCCATTAAATGAAAAATTTGCAAATGCGTTTGCAAAGCCCTCTGTTCCATCTGGATTTTCCAATGAAAAAATCTAAAAGCATTAAAAAAAAAAGATTAAATCTAAATATCAAAATAAAACTTTGAACTCTATAAATATATAAATATAACTAAATGATGATTTTTAAATATATAAATATAACTAAATGATTTTTATATAAATATAAAAAATATAACTAAAAAGTAGATTTTTATTATAGAGATTTATTTACAATTTTAACAGTATCTTGTTGTTATATAATCCCATTAATAGAAATAATAACTAATCAATGACAATTGCAACAATATGAAATAGGGATTAGATTTAGGCCAATCTCTTCTTCAATAAAGAACTAAGTGTACATAGGGTGTAATTATACAGCATACCCTATTGATCACTGATATTACACTGAGTGTTATGTATAAATTGATTTTATTAGTTTAATGAGTCTTTTTGGGTTGAGCAAAGTTTTTTTACAGAAAGCAATAAAATTAAAAACAAAACCATACTTTAATCTTTATTTTAATCTGCAGCATGTGAAAATTTGATAGATAAAAATATTGATAGATAAAAATATTTATAAATCTAACAGAATTTATAAGTATCAATGTTTTATGAAAATGCATTGATGCGTTACTGATGTATTATTAAATGCTATTTATTTTTTTCTAATATTTAGTAAATCTATTATTAATAAATGCTTATTATTATATTTATTTATACATATATATGTAATGCATACATTTTTATTCATATTTTTAATTATATAAATTTGGTTTCCTAAAGTTTTTTTTATAGCAAACCATATTTAACTAAACTAATTGTTGTAAATCTTTATATGTACTTCATTTTTTCCTTTAACATTCACTACTTGTGTGTGACCATTCTACAAATTTTTAGGCCTTACTATAAATACTTAAAAAATAAAAAAACAAATTAGTAACAATAATGAAAAAAATGCAAAATATTATGTAATAATAGTGCAAACAAATATGAATAAATATTAATTAAAAAAAATTTAATTCTGATTTTACTTTAAAAATAATTTAATGAATTATAAATAATTGTATTTAAAAATAATAATATAAGACAAATGATAATATATAAAAATAAATATTAAATTACAAATGTAGTAAACAATTTCATTAATTTCAAATTGGGCATAATTATAAAGAGAAGCATCTCCAACAAAAATGAAGTTTCTTTCAACATATTCTTTTAAATAGAACAACTATAAATATTAAACCTAACAGAACTGTCTGTTAGGTTCAATATTAAATCGGCAGCAGACAGAAAATATGTTTTTACACAATTTTTTTTTTGTTTTTATTATTTCAGTTATTTATTTTATACAACAGTAAAAGCTTAAAGGAGATTCATAAACATTCTTTTAAAACAAGAAAAAAAGCATGAAGAAGATTCTTAAACATTCTCTTAAAACAAGAAAAAAAGGAGAGATTCTTTAAAATTCTCTTAAAACTTGTATTCATGTAAAAAACTAGAATACACTAATAGTTGGAAATAGCAAAATGAACAGAAGAATAGAAGTGTACGAAAATAGATAATAATGTAAAGAGTATAAATGCATAATTGAATATGCAAAACAACAGTGTTCTGTACAACATTTAGAATTTGAAGAGAAATGTTACAATATAATTTTGTAAAGAACCTTATAAATATATTGATTAACAATAACTTGTTAATCAATATATTTATAAAGTTGTTTACAAACTTCTTTAATAGAAAAAACTACATATGTATTCATACATATGAACAAGGCTGCTGCACTGAAAAACAAGTTAAGCACTTCGATGGAGGAAAGCGGGAAGTGGTAGTGACTTAGCAAGAACCAGAAAAAAAAGCTTGAACTTAATGCTTACAAATAGCAAGTTTTAGTCATTACCTTACATTTATTATATTGATTTATTATATTGATTTATTACATGTTGAAATATTGTTTTAAAGTTGTGGTTCTAATTTATTTTCCTTCCAAAAAATTTTGATTTTTTAAAAAGGGTGAATGTTTTTAAATTTCAAACATCAAATTTTTTACTAAAAAAAGTGCATTTCTCAATTCCATAAGTTTTTCTTTTTCAATCTTGAAAAAAATAATCCCTTCAATCCAATATCTGGTCATTTATGGGCCTTTGAAGACTTGCATTTGCAGTTAATAGTTTTACAGTGCCACCAATACCATCACATGGTGACTTACTTGTAGCAAAAAATCAATGTCAAAATCATCTTTATGGAAACAGGTATTGTAAAAGTTTTTGTGGTTTTTATACTGTGCAGCACAACCATCTAAAAAATAAAGAATCTTTGAAATATCAAGCTAAGACTCAATGCAAAGGGGGAAAGAATTCCACACACCTTGTTAACAAAGCAAGTGCTCTGCCATTAAAACATTATTACAATTGGCATTAAGGTACTACTATGCATAGCAACCCTCAAAATTAGGAAAATTGAGGTCGGCAAATTATTGCCGACCTCAATCTTTTAGAGGTCGACATCAGGTCGGCAAATACAAAGGTCTTACCATAAAACATCGAAACGAGGTCAGCAAAGCCGAATTTTTTTTTAAGATCCGCAAACACGTTTAGGTCGGCTGCTAGGTTGGCATTGCCGAATGCCGACCCTAATTCCAAGGGTTGATGTATAGATACACTTCACTTGGACATCAAGTAACAGACTTCAATTCATAAAACGATCTCTATTAGTTAAAACAACATGTTGGTTTTTTGAGAATTTTATAAATGATATTATTATAATGTAAAACGAATGTATTATATGTATGGTATTATATGAATGTATTATATTATATGTAGGTATGTGTATATGTATTATATATTAGGGTGGTCCTTAAAACAACTTTTTATTTAAATGTCTGCTCTTACCCTCTAAATGTGTTCTATATGATAAAATAACACTGGATTTAAAAGTTTTTTTGAACAACAAATATTTTTAGTGGTACCCCAGAAACCTTGAACATTTAATGGGTCTCTAATATTATTAAGAAAAAAGTTTTTCAAAAGTATGTCTTGTTGTGTCTTAAAAGAAGCGAAATTATATTAAAAAAACAACAAAAATAATCATCATTTTATAAAAAAATTATTATTTTAGATTTTAGTGAACAGAAAATGACGTTTTTAACTGAATGAAAATAAAGAATTTTTTATTTATAATTATTTTTAGCGATGTTTTTTTTATATATATATAAAACACATTAAGAGAAAAAACATCGCTATATATATAGCGATGTGTTTTTTATATATATAAAACACATTAAGAGGGTGGCAGCATATATTTTCTAAAAATGTTGTTTTTTGGGACACCCTATTATGTATGTATATATGATAATGTAATAAATGTATTGTATATGCATTATATGTATATATATTGTATATATGATATATATATATATATATACATACATATATATATATATATATATATATATATATATATATATATATATTATATATATATATATATATATTGTATGTATGTTTATATGAAATATGTATGAATATAATTATAATGTAATAAAAGATTCATTACATTATAATAATATTCATATATATGAAATATGTATGAATATTATTATAATGTAATGAATCTTTAATGAATCTGCAATGGCAATAAAATAAATGTCAAAGCGTTAAATTGTTATGCATTGTGACCCGCTATATGCATATGCATAGTGACCCGCTGGAATGCATGATGTTTTTAGGTTTTGGAAAACCATTTTCAAACTTAAATGAAAAGACAGTTTTATAGATTCAACATTAAGTAAATTGCAAAGGATCCAATATCGAGAATAACAGAGTCGAGAGAAATTGAGAAAAAACTTAGTACTTAAATATTTTTTTATAACAATATTTTAACAAGCAAGTTTTATCTAATAAATTGCTTTCTAACTTTTAGTTAAATGTCTATGCGCGGTGCTCTGTAATAAAGACTTATGTGATAAGTTATCACATTTTACATAATTAATTAAACTCATCTAACAGGTAAATATAATTAAACATTGATTATTATCACTTGTTATCACTGATAACATTTTATTACACAATTTTGCCACAATACACAGTGGGCCGGATATCAGACTTATAGTGGGCAAAATTATTTTGATCATACGACACTACTTGTACAAAATAAAATTATTATATGTTTAAAACTTACCTCATTTTTTTAAGACCGGTTTTTGTATATATATTATAAATAATGATCTTGACTAAATTTTTTTTTTTTTGTAAAGGTAAACTATTGAATAGTTAAAATATATGAACTAACATCACATACACATTTTAAAAATTACTGTTTACTATATCTTTGTATAAAAATTAAAAACTTTTTGCTTTTTTTGACAAAGAAAAGGTATTTCATTAAACATTAGATTCATATATACATTACATTTTATTATACCGCAATTGATTTTTGTGGATTTAAAAAGATACTATTATTAAAAAGATACTATTACACTCAAAAGAGTTTTTGAAATAGTACAATAGAAAAGTATGAGTACGTTTTATATGGTTTTGAACAAAATAAGCTTTTTTTTTTAAAGGTTTTTTCCACCATCACCACCTGGCCCACTGTGCATTACCAATTGCTTTGCAATGTAAATTAGTGTTGTTATTGAACAAAGAGAACATTTACATTTTGAAAACAACAAGAACTATTGTAAAAGCAACGTTGAAATAAAATAAGAATTTAATTATTTTATGAGTAAAAAATTGATAATTTCTAAAAACTTTGGCGAAGTTTAGTCAAAGTTTCTTGATTTCTCTCAAACTCCGAAAAACCGAGAAAAATCCAAGTAGACGGAGTTCCGAATGAATCTATTGGTGATGCCCAGCAACCTTTCAACTAAAACATATTTATGACTTACTTAAGTTGTCTGTTACAAATATAGTTAACATTTAAACTTCTTGTTTGCTATTTTTCACACTCTCAATAAATTGTTTAAATCTATCATTAATCCATAAATGTGTTTAAACAAAAAAAAAAAGTTAAATACAATTAGTAGGTATGCTCTATTACAGTACCTATACTGCTAAATCATTGACATACTTTTAAAACTATCCCATTGAACTCAGTACCACTATTCTATAACCCATGTAATCTCAATCCTTAATTCACATATTACCACTTTTTAATCCTTATCCTATTTTAATCTATAGATATATAAAGTCCCAATTTATAATCTCATAGAACTAAGAAAAATGACACATTTCAGTCTATTATTCTTTTTAACTGAGGAAATAAAATATCATTTTTTTTAATCAAAATCATTTCAAAATTCTATCAAATTGAGAAAAATAAATTATATTCATTAAAACCAAGTTAACTGAATTATATGTATTGTTTAAAGTAATGGAGACAAATATAATATATGTATTGTTTAAAGTGATGGAGACAAATATAATATTGATCAATATTTACTAATGCATAAAGCATCCCATAATGCTTTGTCACTACAACTTACATTCAATAAAACAAACCTTTTTATCATTCTCTTCGTTTTTACTTTTTATACCACTTGAGGTTTTTTTCCATTCAGCAAAGAGTTCATAATCAAACTACAACACAATTTAAGAATTTTTTTTTATAAGTTACATGACAATAACAAATTTAAGACGTAATTATTATAACTAGCAGTAAGCAACCCGTAATACGCATTGTTAGTAAATAAAATTAAAAAAAAAAAACGCGTATAGAAAAGCCAAGAAACTACTTTAAAATAGAAAAGCCTAGAAAATGACATAACTCGACTAATAATAATAATATTAAATTAGCGTATTCATATTATCAGATTATTAATTTTATAGGTTAGTTTAATAAATGAGCATATAATTTTTTAACAAAAATTTTTACAAAAGAATTTTACAAAATCAAACATTGAAAAAAAAAAAAAGGTAAGAACAAAAAAAAAGAATTCAAAATCAAATATTAAAAAAAAAAAAGAAGAAGCATAAAACATTAAAAAATGTTTACATCACTGACACAACCAAAAAACTGCTTTAGTCTTGTCAAATTTACAACACCTCCTTCATTGATATAACCTAATATTGATAAAAGATATTTAAAATCTTTTTATAAATATTTCATTTTATAACATCACAAGCATAGTTAGATACTTATATGTTATAACAAATACTTAAATATTTTTGAAAAATATCTATAAATTGATTGTATAAAAAAGAAAAAAAATTAAAAACCATCTGCAGTAATCAGAAAATCTTTATAAACACTGTAGAAATAAGGCAAAGCATCATGATTAATATGCATATGTGGCAAATGTGGTACAAAATCATTTCCAACAAGAAAGCCAAGAAAAATCCAATCATCAATAATTTTTTCCAAATCATATTCAAACTCAAGACTCTCCTAAAAAAAAAATGATACTAATAACACTAATCATAATAAAAAATATCATAAATAACCAATTTATAACCTAAAATAACTATTACAGTTTCTTATATTTCTACGCATATTTATATTTCTACGCATGCTTATATTTCTATGCATATTTATATTTTGCATAAACAAACTTTAACAAAACTTAATTTTAAATTTACTTCCAACAAAGCAGCGAGCTATTTAAGTTAAAATTTACTTTGGATTGAATATAATTTTAATGTTTATATATATATATATATATATATATATATATATATATATATATATATATATATATATATATATATATATATATATATATATATATATATATATATATATATATATATATACATATATTTAGGTAAGATTATTAGTAGCATCATTAACAAAAATAAACACATAAAACAATACAAGACCAAGTGTGGAACCTTGTGGTACCGTAAAGTTTACTGGAAATGAAAACAAGTGTTGCCCATTTAAGAAAACTCTAATACTGAAATAAGCACAATTCAAGAATTTTATAAGCTTTCTTAACTCACAAAGAGAACTTGTTTAGAAGATTTGAATTTTTAATTTTCTTTGAGAATAACAAACCTTCGAGTTTATAGCAACTTATAGCATCAATTTCTAATGTTAAAAATAAACTTGTTCTCAAGAGATAAAAACAGATTATGATTATGATTAAAAATAGTTGCAAGAAGATAAGAGCGAGGCTTGAAATAAAATTAACAAGAAATAAAAGCTTTATTCCTGCCATCTTGCATTGAATCCAGGAGATTATTAAAAAAAAAACACTTTTTGTACAATAATAAGAAACCAACCCAAGAAATGTCACAAAAAAATATCACGAATCACAAACTCAGCTAGAGCCAAAAAAAATACACAAGTATTACATACATATGTAATATGGATTGGATTCTCTCAAAAATAAGTAACAAAGTTAACCGTCTGAGTAAGAGATTGATTGAAGTCTTGAGCTTCAGTGCCAGTAGGATCAGTAGTACTAGACACAGGCCATTTGTTGTGATGAGCAAAAGCTGCCAATAAAAGTTACCAATGATAACAATGTTGATAGAAAAAGAAAAGATTTGATCAAAAATAGCAAGTCTTTGAAAAAAGAAGAACAAAAAGAAAGATAACCAATTGATGTGCAGTGGCAAATAAAAAAAGTGAGAGAATTTAAACCTGATTTAACAACAAATTATCAAATATAAAAATAAATTATATAATCTGATATGACCACATTTGGATCAGCAAACTAATAAATACATCCGCTGATATGAGGGGGTACTGCTGCCTGAATTTTTTTCCTAGAATAGCCCCTGGAGGTGTACCGAATATTTTTGCCGGATATGCCGGATATTGAACTTTTATGAAATTCTATAAGTGATTATGAAGAAAAAACAAGTCTTGCCAGTCTACAATAAATAATATTCAAGATCTTACTTTGAAAAATCAAGAAAAAAACTGTATGACATGGTATATGCGCTGACGAAATATAGAAAATAGTAATTAAAAAAACAAAAATTTGGCTGTAAAAACGATTTTTCTTTACACATTATTAACGCATATACCTGTGTTATACCAGTGTTATACCATATGTACATGTACCAGTTTTTTTTTGGATGATATTAAAGATTTATTAAAGATCTTCAACAACTCCTTAAAAAAACTTTTTTATTCAATACTTTTTAAACAATGCTATTTTATTATATAACACTAGAGAGTATGATTTTTTAAATTTAAAACTTTTTAAATGTTTTCAAGTCTTAAATTTGATTAAAGTAAAAAACTAAAAATTGAAAATGTTTTATGTGAGACTTATATAGAGAATAGAGCTGATTGATACAATCAATTGTATCAACCAGCTCAATTAAAAAATATTTTTAATTTGAACTTATGAACTTTTTACTTTAATGAGTAGAAAGACAGAAAAATTTTTATAAAATAAATTCAGATAGATAAGTATGTATAATGGATCAATATAGCATAAAGATTTTTGATTTTATGCACTTAAATAAATTGCTGTATTTAGAGCTCATTAACAAGATATAAACTTCTTTTTTTTATGTTTTATTTTATTTAAATCAAAAACAATTTCTGCACCAGAACCACAACCCAAAAACTAAAACTGTCATTCCCATTTTCAAAAAATTTTTAAATATTCATCATTTATGCAGCAATTAATAGTGATACCTTCATAGAAGAAAATTCAAGGTCAAGATATTCACGAAGCAATGATAAATGCAGCAGATGAAAGACCTGATCTCCAGGAGATAACACTATGTTTGATTTGGCACCAAATCTGACTTCTTCTCGCAGTAAACAAAAATGAGGTTCGTGAACACTAAGACCAAGCATGATCTAAACATTATAAACTTTCATTAAAGTATATATTATTTACAAGCATTAAATGAAATTAAAATGAATACAGCCATTATTTGTACTAAATACTAAACAAATCTAAAAACCTGAAAATTGAACTTGAGTAATCATAATACTTTTTAATGAACTAGCAACTTTAAAGTATAGAAGAGAAAATTGAAAATGAATTCCAACGATGAATAATAATTTTGAATAATGAACAATGATTTTGAATGGTGAACAATGATTTTGAATGGTGAACAATGATTTTGAAGGGTGAACCATTAGTTTGAATGGTGAACCTTAAATTTGAATGATAAATTTTATATAATTTGATTTAAATATATTATATATAAAATAAATTTAATAATTTTGAATGATGAACAATTAATTAGAACAAGGAAATTGAATGTTGCACAAGAAATTTGAGTAAACAATTAATTGAATGATAAAAACCAAACTTAATTTATGAACAGTTTGTTTAAAAAATGAATAATTAGTTTACAAAAAAAAAAGTATACCTTACCAAATCAGCATCCAGCCCATAAAGACAATGCCTTGTATTTGGATCATAATCAGGTTTTGATTTGCAATAGCGTATGTAGTCCATTATTTTATGTTCTCCTTCACCAGGTACCTAAAATAATTGTTAAAACTGTTTGTATACATGAGCAAATCTATAAAGTAATTTGACAAGGAGTGGTTAAAATAATAATTAAAATAATAATCAAAATAATAATTAAAATAATAATTAAAATAATTAATAATTTAAAATAATTTAAAATCATACATTGTGTCCAGAAAAGTGAACAACGCAGTGTTTCCAAAGAGGATCAGTTGAAATTTTATAATTAATAAAGTACTTGAGTTGTTGATGTAGTCGGTCCATAAACTCTGTTCCTTTTTACACAAGGTTTAGAATTTTTAAAAAAACATATTACAAACATTGCTTTTTAAAAAAATAATTGTCATTAGAAAAGTTTTTTTTTAAATTGTTTAAGAAAAGTCTAAAGATCTGAATATTGTCAAAAAAAACTCTTAGTATATAATTTATGCAGATTCATTTAGATGAAGTTAACTTAAGTGTTTTTTAGAATACAATTTTTTTATTTTTATTTTTTTATTATTATTATTTAGGTGTCCCAAGAAGACCTATCAGTCTTGTCACAGAGAACCGAAGAAGTGCATTAACCAGGAAGTTCACACCTCCTTTCTTAGCGTGACACGAAATATGTCCTAAACTTGTTTCGAACCTGGATCTCCTGCTTATAAAGCAAGTGCTCCAACTGTTGCGCCACAGCCGCATAATCAGATAAAAACTTTAAATGAATTCAAAAATTGCATTCAGTTAACTTATATGTTCATGCTTATCCTTATTTGGTTTAAATAAATAAAATAAAAACTATATGAAGTTTTAAGCAATCAAAATTAAAACAAAATAAAGTTTTAGGCAGTCAAAAATTAGTAGGAAATTAGTTTTGCATAATGAAATCATACCTGGAGTAATGCAATTAGAGTCAAAAGAGTCTCCTTTAGGTAAGGTTTCTCCTCGTTGAATAGCATTTTCTATAGAAATTCCAACTTCTTTAGCTGTTCTAGACATATCAATAAACAAATAAAACCAGTTAATTGAAAAAACAAATGAAATATTAAATGCATTAAAAATTGATCAAAATAAAGAAAAAATAGTTTATATAAAATAAACGACTGAAACAAATTAACGTTATTTTGAACCTAAAGCGTCGGCTTCTTTGTTGATTCATTTTTGCACGAGGTGCACATCCATCAACTGCCATAAAGAAATTTTTCTTTGGTTTAATGATTCGAAACAAAGTCTAATAAAATAAATGACGCACATATTTATTACCATGAAAGCATTGTTGAAATGTTTTGTTTTTTTTTTCTAGAAAGAAAACGATAACAAAGATTTTAAAGTTTTTAGAGATGTCTTAATACAGATATAGATGTTTTTATAAAGATATTTATTTAGTTATTATAACAAAAATTTTGGATTATGGGATCAAATTATCAAACTTGGATTTTTAGAAAAATAAATTTATTTTTTAAAAGACTAAAAATAAAGAAAACTTAAAAATGTTCACAAAAACATTTATTATCATTTAATAATAATAATTTTCGATATAAATAAATAATATTAATTATGATAAAATAATATTATATCATATTTAATATTATATTTTAGACAAACCTGTGATGTAAATAATAATGATATAAAATATATTTAGAAGTTATTTATGACAAACAAACAAATAAAATTTAGGGCATTTAAATGACATATGAGGCATCTCACAAAAAAAGGTACCAAGTCTTAGTTTCTAGTTGAGGAGATATTTGACAAAAAATCAAATACTGATGTAATAAGTGTGGTTTTTTTGCATTTAAATGAATTGCATTTTAATAAAGTGACATTGACGTTCATACACAAAGAAATACATGAATACAGACTACAATGTTTTGAGATTGATGGGATGATTGAACATGAAAACAAACTGAATGACAATATTGCTGCACAGTTAAGTGCTCTGCTCCACAGGAGTAAAAGGCTAATGTGTAATGTGTTGTAATCGTTATGAAGATCAAAATGAACTTCGATCAAAAACAATGATGGATTATCGGTTTCACTGATACAAGATATGTTTGAAATTATTCATGTTTTTGCATGGGATTAGTTGTAAGCATCTCCGTATGTTGGAACGCGGATGTTGAATAACAACAAAATGGTTTTGCCTTTTATTGTTATTCAACATTCGCGCTCAGACTTATGCAGTCTCTGTCAAAATACCACAATAAAAATTCCTGAAATGGTTAATCTAGAAGTAGAAATCAAACAAGAGCGTATAACTGAGACGTTGAAACATCTAAAGTTAGTCGACAAAGAGCATTCCATTTATCACGATAGTATCAAACTGGCAAAACAAAATGAAATTTCACACATTTCTTTTGACAATGCACAGCAAATCTTTCTACCAAATTTGATCAAACTTGGACCTATCTATTTTTTAACTCTGTTCAAAGTTTGGATTTTTGGTTTTGCAAATGATTCGGCCTGTGTTCCACACAATTATGTGATACATGAAAACATGTTGACCGGAAAGGGTACAAACTGTATTTTGAGTATGATTCATCACTACCTTGCTGAACATAAATATTCTATCAAAGATACACAGTATTGCCATGCTGACAACTGCATAGGGCAAAATAAAAACAATATTGTAATGCAGTAATTGTCTTGGAGAGTAGCTGTTGGGTTAACCCAAAAAAAAAACATGTTCCTGCCTGTCAATTTCACGAAATTCTCTCCAGATGCAGGATTTGGGATTCTGAAATCTAAGTTTCGGCGAAGTGAAGTAGCTTCGGTCAAAGAGTTTGCCACATGCATAGAAGCTAGTACTACGATTTCAAAATTGAATAAATCAGTCATTGTCGGTGAAGAGAATAGTACAATTTTTATCCCAACATATGATTGGCAAGAACAGCATTTGTTTTGAAATTCATCCAATTTCAAAACAATTCCTTATCTCAACAAATTGCACTCTTTCGCATTTTAATTTGAGTTTTAATAATGAGTGATTACTGCCAAGATTGATTCGGACAAAGAAGAAGTAGAATTCCAAATATGATAACACCAACTTATCTTAAAAATTATCATGCCACAAATATTACAGCCTAAACTTCTCTAACAAGAAAGACAATGGTATCTGTATGATAGCATCCAAATTTTTGTCCCAGAACGCCGGATGGATTTAATTTGTCCAAATATATATATATAAATAATTTAATATACATATATATATATATATATATATATATATATATATATATATATATATATATATATATATATACATATATATATACATATATATGTATATACATACATATATATATGTGTGTGTAAATATATATGTATATATATATATATGTGTGCGTGTATATATATATATAAATATATATATATATATATATATATATATATATATATATATATATCTTTAGTGTTGACATCGTGTATAAGAGTAAATGTTATATTAGTCAGAGTATATGTTATATTAATCATATATATATATATATATATATCAAGCCTTCCCAGGAAAGGCATGCAGTTTTTTTTCTCGTACAACCACACGAGATTACACTATTTTAGAAAATGTGAACAGTTTTATAATAATGCTGAAAAAGTTTCAAAAACAAAAAAAACATAACTAGCAAAATAAAAAGAGATTGAAATAGAAAAAATAAAAACAAATTGATAATTTAAATAATTTGTGTACTGTTTTTATTTTTGTTTCTTTAGAGTTACATTCAGCAACAAAATTTAGATAAGGCGAAGCAAAAAAAAAACAGTTTGAAGTCTACAATAAAAAGAATGATTTTCTTTTTCTTAATTTTTTTTTAAAAGGATAGCAAAAATACAAATTGCAATGTGTTTGTATAATTTATTTATATAATTTTAATGTAAAAACAAGGATTGAATTAAGCGAATGCAAAACGCAAAATCTGGAAAAATATCTAGTATTCAAAATTTTAGTTTATACAAAACCGTGTTCCTTGTTTGTATTTTTATACTGCACTTATAACTTTTAAAATTCATTCTTTGTTCAAGCAACATTAGTATTCCCAAACTTTAATTAAAGTAGAAAAATATCTAAAAGAATAAAGTAGATGTTCAAATAATATTAAAACTAAAGTAACTTATAAAAGGGTGACAAACAACTTTATGATAACGTGTCGTATTAAAAGTTTAGCATTGTGAAAAACGTTACTAATGGACCGTAAAAACGCGCGTTAATTTTAAAATTAACCAATAAAAATTTTTTATTGGTTGATTTTAAAATTAACGTGCATTTTTACATAACGTTTTTCATAATGCTATACTTTTTATAAAGGACTTTTTTATAACATTGTTTAAGTGATATGTGAAAGTTCCTGAAATTTTTAATAATATTTGAATATCCGCTTTATTTTTTCTACTTTAATAAATGTTTAAAATTAAAAATGTTATTTGAACAAAGGATGAACTTTAAAAGTAATAAGTGCTTTATAAATGTAATAACACTATTATAGTTTTATTACTTTTATAATGCAGTTAGTGACTAAAGTGTTATTACTTTTGTAGTCGTAAGTTTGTTTTTGTTTCGTTTTTAGTAATTTTCTCGCTAGCAAACATTTAATAAATTGCTCCTTATAAACAAAGTACACAGCTTTGCATGAACTAAAATTTTAAAGACCTAATATTTTATCAGAGATAGCAAATCGCGATCGTATAATTTAACTCTTGATATAAACTTGTTGCATTATATTTATATAAATATATTTTACAAACAGATGATGATACATATTTTCTCTTTCCTCTTTAAAAGAAAAAACACATAAAATATGGGAAAGTCATCCTTTTTAACGCCTAAAACAGTTTTTTTTTTTTTTTTTGCTTTGACTTAATGAATTTTGTTGCCGATAATAACAACTACTAAGAAAAAACAAAAATAAAAACAACACACAAATTATTTAAACTATTATTATTGTTTTCTATTTAAGTTCACTTAAATTTTTTAAGTAGTTATTAAATTTAAAACAATTTTTCAGCAACGCATATAATAAAACTTGCGCAAACGACTGCGATCACGTTCTCTAACTTGAAAAACGTTTTCATGGTTGTACGAGACGAAAAACCGCACGCCTTTCCTGGGAAGGCTTGATATATATATATATATACATATATATATCAAGCGTAAGCAAGAAAGAAGCTATTCAACTGCTGACATCAGTTAATTTTAAACTGTTTCTAACGTTACGAAAAAAATTCATTATATAATTTTTACAAGCTGATGATGCTGGTAACCATAATCCAGAGAAAATTTCTAATAAATTATTAATTGTATTAAGAGAATTCATATTAATTGATGTTTTCTGAATAATATATATATATATATATATATATATATATATATATATATATATATACATATATATATATAAATATATATATATATATATATTAGGGTGTGTCATACTTTTTTTTTTTTGAATTTTGACTCGTATAATTTAAAAAAAGGGTGAGGTATAATATTACAAGTTTAGAACCTTCAACAAAAAAAAAAAAAAAAAAAAAGTTTTAGCTACCAGGGAACCAGTGACACTATTTTACCAAAAAAAAAGGGGGAGGGGAAGGTATGAACTTAAAAAAATGAAGTATTTTTTTAAAAAAACTTACAAAACGCAAAAAAACGTCATTTCTATTTTTAAAAAAATATAATTATTTGTATAAAAACAACTAGAGTGGTTTGCCCCCCTCCCACTACTTCCCACTAAAACTGTAAAATTAGGTTGTTTTGGAATTAAAAATAAAACTTTCATATAGATCTACAAAACATCTACTGGCACATTAAAATAAAGTACAATAAAGATTAATTCTTAAACATTGTCAAGCCAATAAGGTTTTGTTTAGATAGATTTCGTTACATCAACTTCTGTGACAACTCTTGCCCTTTAATCCAACCATCTCTTCTATCTTCTGTAAAAACATTTTCGCAAGCCTGGGTAACTTTTTATACACATTTTTCGACAGCTTGAGTGTGGCAACACCAGTTTGGTACAATCATTGATTTAAAAAAATACTCTTTGATGTCTTTAGTTGTCATGCAACAAGTCAAAGGTGGTTCAAAAGCTTCATTCCAATTAATAAGGTCCTTGAGACAAATTGCTTTAGTATTGATATCTGGTGTCCTTCTTCGTCTAACAGATAGATCTCCAAGTTGTACATTTTCATCACCTTCTCCTCTTGTTTCAAGAATTTTGTTTACACTGAAATCTCTCT